ATACTAACGAGACGTGTTTTGTTGGTCAAAAGGAATTTTAATTGGCAGCCAAGATGCGTGTGCTCTCGCCTCGCACGCCGACTCCWGGACCTCTGGCTTGAATAGGGGAGGCTAATGTGATTTTGGCAGTAAAACTGTTTGACTTTGCTGACATTTTTCACAATGCACAATTATAAATGCTCATTTTTTATCAGAGGTATAAACAGAAACAGATCAGAGGAAATACACAAAGCAGGCCTGCATAAATCCAAACATTGCTTTTTTGTCCCCAAATAAACTTAAACACCTTTTTTAGAATGAATAAAAAGTTTTTGATTTATTCTGCCTGTAGATGTTTACATAAATAATGTTAAGTAGAGCTTCAGCTGAGGAAAATAAGAACAGAAATTGAAAAAAACAGATGAATATCTTCACTTGCTCACAGTTTGTTTACTATAAACAATTTTATTTGAACGACTGTGAACCTCCTCGGGAAGCAGTCACAGTGCTTTTATTTGCCTGTTAGATGATGCAGTTTTTAGGAGATGATGAGCTTTAAGGTATTTTTTTTTAACGTACTAACAGGAGGCAGAAAGATGTGAAGAAGAGACCGCTATTCAGAAAATGCAAAGTAACGGAGCTCCACTCTCACATGTTAGTGTGTTTACATCTCTGTGGCTTAATGGGAGACCAGCTCAACCTTTACCCCTGCTTGTCATAAACACAGTCCCTTTGGAAGTGAAATGTGGAGTTTAATAAATATTTGCTGGACCCTGTTCTTCATTCACACACGTACACAAACATGGACCAGAACAGGAAACGACTGCTCTCTAATTACCTTTAATGGAACAAGCTGTGACCAATTAGCCGGTGAGTGTTAATTAGAAAACTTCAATTTCAAGAGGATTTGGACAGCCGCGTAAATGAGATGTATCTGAGGCTTCATTAGAAAATGCTTTTAATCCGGAGGAGTCCGGTCAGTGTCACCACACAAATAAATTCCTTAAAGGGAACTCCCAACTAGTTGTAACATAACATAAACATTTATGTCAGCTTTAAGAACAAGACAATACTGTAGGCTTGTTAGTTTTTATAAATTAAAAAATAGATATTGTCGCACAAATGGCGCTATGCTATTTACACTACAAATTATACCAGTTAAATCACATTTATTAGGTGTTCCAGTGTGAGCTCTATCCACCCTGAAGTTTAATCTTGGATAAGATCTTACGATCAGCCCTTTAAAATAAAACTAGAGCATGTTGACAGAGAGGAGGACAACAGAGCTGCTTCATGGAAGAAGAACCTCAGCTTTAGCCTGTTAGCTTTTGCGTTGACACCCTAACAGATACAGGCTAAAACCTGCTCNCACACACACACACACACACACACACACACACACAGACACACACACACACACAAAGATAGATAGAGCCAAGAAAACCCCCTCCCCTGCTTTCGACACACACGCCAACAGAAACGAACAGGTGCGTGTTGAAAACGCCATTCTTTGAAACATCTCCATTTCCTCAGCCCCAGCAGCCCAGGTGAGGCTGAGCTGAGCCCACGGGGCGCCGGGATTAAGAGACTGGGAGCAGGTTTAACATAAACTGTCATCTCAGGTCAGATTTGCATTTTTCTTTTCATTGTTAAAGGTTAGGCATTCCCACTGATCTGAGATAAGCATTAAAAAAGGCACCTTCTGCCCTGAAGGACAGTTTATTGGAGATGGTGACGATGTTAGGACAGTTGAAAGGACAGTGGGGACGTTTTTTTTTTTTTTTTTTTTTTTTTTGGACCTTGCAGTCTTTGTTTTACAGTAAATGTTTATCAAAAAATGTCTAACATTACAACTAGCCTGGGTTCACAGGAATCATTTGCTACTTTTCATGTTGGCGTTTCAAACTAAGATCATCTTGATATCAATTAGCTGTGGCAGCCATCTTGAAGCTGCAGATGTGCATGCTCTCCTATCAGTGTTTGGTGATAACTGTCTGTCAGAAACCACCACACAGATTTGAGTATAATTCTTACCTTTCCTCTTCACAAAACTCCAACAGTTTCCTTCATTTATTCAGAGCATAAACAAATCTGTCAGGAGGAATTCTGTTTCTGAGCTGAAACGAGCCTCTAATGTGGTTCTTCATAATCCGATGACACCACCTCTGTGAATCGTCCACAAGAGGCCTAGTGTCAATAAAGACCGGTGAGCGTGACATGAAAAATCATAAAACACCGCCATTACAGATGTAAACGCCTCAGCCCTCTGGTTCTGTAGAAAAGACAAAAGTTCAAAGTGTTTCCTTCTTGATTCTTGGAGTTCAAACCAATCCAGAGCAATCAAGATGGATCACTGAGTGATCAAGAAAGTTATTATTCCAAAAAGTTATTTTTACATTTAATAAATGCATTATTTCTGCTTTTAGTTGATTGTAGTGCCACTTAATTATTATTAAGACCCTCTGTAATTATTGTGATCAGTTCATTGAGCTAAATAAAGTTCATACAGCTGGTTTTTATCTAGCTCAGTGTAGAGAAGCCACTTTGATTTGTTTTTATCCCAAAATAGTCAAACTCTGATTATTCTGTATCTAACAGTCTGAGACCAAAGTAATCAGTGTTTTAGATGGTAAATGACACATTTTATACACTGGAATGGTGAGTTAGGCTGTTTGTTGTTTATGTCTGCGTCAGAAATCCTGTTTTACAATTCACCTAAAAGCACCGCAGCCTGAAGCCTCATGAATATCCCTTCCCAAGTCAAATTGATTTGTAACTTTTATTTTTGCTCACCGGGGTTTGTTGAGCCTCACTAATTCTAATTTCTTAGTCTGTTTCCATCCATCCTTTTCTTTCAATCAGACTGCGTGATGCCGAGGCACACGGTTGTTATAGTGATTACTATTCATGAACCGAGACGTCACGACGACGCCTCACATCTTTGTTTGCACAGAAACACACACACACACACACACAATGAGGTATTGTTTCAAAATAGACAAGCCTCTGCAGTTGTAGCTCAATCTATTATTCATACATTTCCCTGAGCCGTTTGGTTTGTGTTGGTGAGGTGCTGGTAAAAACACAGAAGCAGAGGAAGACATGGTCGTCTGCACACATTACCTCTAAATTTAAAAAAAAAACGTTCATGATTTACGCAAAATACAAACCGTTTGAATATTTCTGAAGCTCCTTTGGATACTGCCTGGTTTCATTGTGCAGTTTAAATGTTTGGTTTGCAGGTATTTTGGGGTCCACAAGGCCCCACCTTCGAGTGGTCCAGACCAAAATGTTCTAACTTACAGGTTCAGTGATCAATCTTGCCAAAATTAAAATTATAAATGCAAGTGGTGGGCAGCGCCAATTCAAAATTTAGTTGCGCAATTTCTAAAGCAGTAGTCAATATATTTAGGTCCGCAAGTTCACAAGCACATATGCTCAACAAAACTTAGCAGAAACTAAATATAAAGCACAAGACTATCTCCATTTACCAGAAAACATTAAGGTAAGAGAAAAGTCAGCACTTTACCACCATCTAGTGGTAAGATTATTTTCTTTGATGGAAGTCATTGCAGTTTGGGGAGGTTATTCATACAAACAGACTTTTAAATCATGGTGTTAAAACCAAAAATATTTGTGGATTGCTAGTTCTGCTGTTTCTTGGTCATTTTCTTATGTGTATGGCAGGGCTTTAGTAAGAAAACATGATATATATAATATATACAAAGCAGGTATAGCATATATAATATATAACATATTAGTAATTTTAAACTGTTGTAAAACTGAAGCAATGCATTCTGGTTAGGCTACAGGACACATAACAGGAACTCCTTTTCAAAATAAGAGCGTGAATTTTAACTGTTCTGTTTCTTTCTTTTTTTTTTTTTTTTTTTTTTTTTTTGTATTTATTGCCGTGGTGTCCCTCAGAGAGGAGGTACAATATGCTCATCTGAGTGTGGTTCTGCAGATCAGAACTGCAGGTGGATTGTCGCCCTTTGAAGACGTTCTAATTGCTTCCTGCCACGCAAAGAATTGTGGGAACTCTCTAATAAATCAAAACCATCACTGAGAAGAGTCAGAAGTCAGAGTATAAAGCTCTGTGAATGCAATATTGATAGAGAGATCGTTGTTTCTTCACAATGAAGGTTCATTGTGTTTAGTAGAGGCGGCTTTCCCCTCCAATGTTCAAGAAAAATGATGACAAAGTTTAAATGAATTATGTGGCTACAAAACGTAGTGAGACTAGATGGTTCTTTTTGTTTACTTTAGACTAAACTGCCGTTTGAATGTGAAAAATTATTTACGATTAGTGCTCCTCGATTCTAAATATCGAAAGCACAAATCTGCACATCATTATAAGAAATTAGTAAAACCCCTGAAGCGCAAAGGAGAACTGTAGGTCTGCAATTAGCGCATTTGTGTTTTAGGGGACTAGTGCCTACCACCGATAAGTGCAAATTGTCATAATTTTAATCATGTCGAAATGCTCCTGCGTACCACTAGAGGGAACTACCAGCAGCTTCCTCCACAAAGAAAACTTTTTTTTTTCACGTTTAAAAATGCATTCACTCATCAGAATACTGAACATAGCTCCAGGCACCGCTAAACAGCTGCTGACAACTCAGAAAATTGAAATTTTTGATGATAAAGAAAGCACTTCAAAGGATTTTCCAAATGTTATTACAATCCACAAATGACAAGCAYTAAAGACAAGGCTAAGGTCAAAAGCTTTTCTGAAAGAGTTTTTATTTTATTATTTTAAATAATGCTATAAATATTGAACCAAAATGGTTGTTTGAAGGATGAAGATCTCCAGGAAGGCTCACAGTCCTCATTATTTAAAAGCACCATCATCTCTTAAATATGTTACATTTTCAGGCCAAAATTTTTTTTTTACTAAAACAAGCAAAAGTTTGTGTTTGTCAGCAGAAAAAATGATGTAAAAACCTCTAAAATAAAATCAAACGCTGTGAAGGTTCTGTTGTGACCCTCACTAACCGTTCCAATCCTTTCTCTCTCAGGTGTTCACCAGGTACGGGAAGTGCTACATGTTCAACGCCGCAGAGGAGGGGAAGACCCTCCGGACCACCATGAAAGGAGGGACTGGGAACGGGTTGGAGATCATGCTGGACATCCAGCAGGATGAGTACCTGCCGGTGTGGGGGGACACAGGTAGGCCCGGCAGCACCCTCACCTGTCCAAAGTTTCCTCTTATTGAAAGTAACAGCCAGCTCCATTGTTTCACTGCTGAGGTAGAAGAAGCCACCAACCTTTTTTTCTCTTATTTTGCCTCCTTTTTGTTTCCTGCCGCTGTAAAACGCTGCTTACAGAGCTTTATTTTTCAGGATAATGGGTTTCCTGTTGCCAGGCGACAAGGAAACAGACACTGTGTTGTTTTCTTTATAAAAATAACTCATAATTGTATTTTTTGTACAAGAGTACCAGGCTGCAAACAAGATGAGAGTTTCCAAAACGTCAAGAAAGTCAAGTCTTTTTTTTTAAATACTTGTTGCAGKATTTTGTTGCTTTTACCTTTAAAGTGAAACAGCTTCACCTTCCTGGTTTTCTCTACAACACAGCAGAGTATTTCTGCTGTTAAACTAAGCTTCAACATCCCTACGCATCCTGACAGTTTAGTTTTTTATCACGTTATCAGATAATAAGGCTGGGCGATATGACCTAAAATCAATATCACGATATATTGGCCAGTTCACCTTGATAACAATAAATGCACGATAACTCTTACCACCACCACACACAAGTATACGGTGTAGTACAGTCGTAACACTATATACTGTGTCCGTGTTCTTAGTCAAAGTACACAGTTTAGTATTCTCTAATGACACATTATACAAAAACTTTAACCTGAACCATTTGGACCAAAGGGATTTGTAATGAAGAGTTAGATTTTGAACAGCTTTTCTGTAGTTTATCATTTTAGTGTTTTTAATATATTTACTTAAAAACATTTTTTGACAAACTTGAGTCAGATATAGT